AGCTCCTTAATCGCTGTTGAATCCTTTTGGTTTGTATGTTAAATTATATTTCTGGACAAACAGCAATTAATCTTGGAGATTAAATCATTTGTAAATTATCACTGTGATTAACTACCGTATTTTCCGGACTATAAGCCGCTAGTTTTTTCCACGCTTTGAACCATGCGGCTTATAAGAAGGTTCGGCTTTTCTGTGGATTTTTCCTAACCGCCAGAGGCGGATGTCAAAGAATAAGGGGCTAATTTTCATTTAGCACAAGAACATGCTAGCAAGCATTTCCGAATTCTCCCGAGTGGTGCCCGACTTTACACGAGTGAATAAAGTGAATGTGATTGGTCGATTAGATTCTCTCACACAAAAACAGAATTTCATGTCAAATGTAGAAATTCAGCGTTTACACTAGATTTCGCCTTAATTTGCCAATTCCGCAATTCTGTGATCGCGGAAATTATAGGGCCCTATATTCTGACCTGCTTGAAGTCGCACTGTTCCTGCAGGAGCAATTAAAACATCACGGGATGCTTTATCGTTATAAATTAATGCATCTGAAATGCATTCCAGCTGGGTTGGTGGCGTCCTAAAGAACTGTCCGCCGGTACCGTCTCAAAACCCTAGATCTCCAAGGAATACAGCTGAGGCTTCAGAATCGTTTAAAGTCGTGTGGAAATGGCCGTTTCAAACATTCCCGAATTCTCCCGAGTGGTGCCCGACTTTAAACGAGTGAATAAAGTGAACGTGATTGGTCGATTATCAAGGGTTCGGGATTGTTGAGGCGGAAGGTTCGCAAGCAAGTTTGGTTCTAGCCAGTTTGTGGGAAGCATCTTGCTAACCAATTAGCAACTTAGTGCTAGCAGGTTCCCAATGGGAAATTCCATTGGGACCAAGTAGCACTAAATTGGTGACTTAGAAACGACGCTGTCAAGGAACGCTATGGACAGCGGAAACATGCAAGAGGAGGAGAGTTTAGTGTCGGAGGTCGTGGATGAGTATCCTCCGTCATCCATTTTTTATTTAGAGGAGGAAAGCGGGGACAAAGATGTTGTGGAAGAGGACGCCAGGGCGGCAGAAGCTTGGTTTGGTGTAGAAGGCTTCCAGCCGTACATGTTTGAGCCCTCGCCTCGCAACGCTGCCAGTTCTGTTAGCTCTACGCCTGCCGAAGACACAGACGTCCATCCCCGTGAACACTGGGACGCAACTCAATGGGAAAGGAAAGGATTCTGATTTCAACCGTTACGTATATTAGCTGCGACACATGAATCAAGATGCTATGACCGAAAACATTTGATTGATAGATGACCGGTGATATATAATTGGCTGAATTTAGGTGTTTAGGCTGACGTAGAACTAACTGGCCTGCAGAAGATAACGAAAAAAAATAAAGATTTGAAGACAGGATTTTTTTTAAATAGAAATTTTCTACATTTTTGGACAATATGGTCTGATAAATAGTACATTTATATACATGTTTAAGCCAGAATGATTTTACCTTTAAATATGATTTCCCTACGACTTTAATAAACATGAATACTTTTGACGCCTCTGCTGGGAGGTAACAGTGTAGAAATATTTCAGCTTTCATCAATTCTATTGCATCTAATTACTTTCCTAACTGCTGTTGGAAAAAAAATAAATTTAGGTTTTACATTCAAACTCTACGACACATCAGTCACTAAGAACTCACCTTTGGGACCGTGAAAGTTTAGAGCCTTTTTCTGTCATTAGAATCCCAGTTTATTGGTTACTATCAGCTCATCCTTTAGGTTCCCGCTGTCCGCTGTCATTACATTTCTCATATTATTTTTCTTTGTGTGAAGCGGCTCTGAGACTTTCCTCCATTAATAATTCATCCTTTCCACGCCCACGTCTGAGCCAGGAGGAAGTCAATGTGACAATCAACCAAACAGGTAGAAAAATCATGAAATCATCTAAACATAGAGATTAAAACCACAAACACATTTTTTTTCAAACATTATTACTTTTATTCATAACTCTGTATCATTTTAGCAATTCTTTATTTTATCATCCATACCTGATTAGGTCTATATAATCTGTAAATAATCAATCTGCTCTTAAAACTGTTTGAGATAGACTATATCTAATAAAACCATTTTTCTCTTTTTTTTTTTTAAATATCTCAAAATCCTTTTCATATACATTTTCTCTTATTAGATGATTTTGAAATAAGTCCATCTTTTAAAACTTTTATGCAACTTTCTTTAAACAAAGAGACAAACCAGCCAAGCAATAAACGAACTAACAAACTAACAGAAGTACACATCTTTTAGTTAGAAGGCAGTGGAAATGTTTCTGTCTCCCAAAAAAAAAAAAAAAACACAATTTTTATTATTCTTTTAAAGTCTGTTAATAATTTATGATGCTACTGACATTTGGGACTTTGTTCTTTAATCTAACACAGAGCTAAAATATGTCACCTCTGATTATCTACTAAAAATCACTGTTATGAAAATGGGATGATGCTTACTGGCAACAGTCATATCACTCTTTAGCCACGGTTTATTCGTATCTTAGCTACGCTGGACGTAACGTTTCATCAGCGTTTCCATTAAAAGCCTCTTTTAAACAGAAATCTAAAGGAAAACTTCAACAAATTCAATAAATCAAAAATTGGGGCAATGCATCGGCTAAATGTAATTATTCAATAAGAGTTATCCAACTGACTAGCTGCTAAAAAGTGTTTCTCTACGGAAGCCCAGAGCGGTCCTGTCGCTCCGATACTTTTTCACCAGTGTTTAATTATTTAAAGATAACAAAAGCCGTTTTCTCGTGACAACGAGATAATTGGTGTATTTTAAAACTGATTCCATCCTTGTCATGGCATCCTATGTGTAATTTTAATTCTGTAATAAATAATCCTGTTTTTAACCTTTAGGTAACGAGACAACGTTGTCGGTTTAATGATTTGCTTCCACCAGATTTTTTCTGAACAGCCCCGGTGTTCCGCCTGTAACAGCTATAAGATGCATTAACCCCCAAAATCAGTCCAGATTAAAGATTTTCATTAAAAAATAGATTTGTTTCTACTGTATTTCATGCAATCAAATCATCCACCATGACCTGACAATGAGTGGAAAGAAACAGGAAACTAAAAAAACGGACTATTTGCGTACATGGGGCACCACGGCTGCAAAACTACGGGCCCCGCAGGCATGGATGGACTGGGAATCCAGGGCTGTTGCTCAGCCGGGTTAATAATCTCATAATCTCAATAAATCACTAACTGTTTTCTCGTGATAATTATCTTCTTATCTGGAGAAAACAATTAATGGTTTAACCATGATAACGAGATACTTATCTCAGGAAGGTAAAGGAAAAAAAAACAAGTCAAGTACGGCCACTCTGGGCTTCCGTACTTAGGAATCAATTAAAAGAAAAATAGTGTAAATAAACAACCTAGCCCAACTATGCTTTGGTTTGATCCGCATATCCTGAACTCCTTCAAACTCACAAACTTGATATTTTTCTAATATTTCATATTAATATGATAGTTTTATGGTTTGGCCCATTTCCTGAAATATTTTGATCATTTTTTTAGCTGATTTTATGCAGATTCATTTGATTTTAACCACAGGTAAACCATATACGCCCCTGCACCTTTAAGAAATTCATGGTCAGAATGAAGTTTATATCATATCGGCTTCAGTAAAGGATCTTAACTGAATGTAAAATAAAACACTGGAAAAAATTTTTATCTAGATAAATCATTTTTTTATTGAAATAAGGGCATTTGTTCTTGAATTGAGGAGATAAAAGAGACATTTTACCAATTAAACAAGACAATTCAGGTTTAAAATAGGAAAACACAATTGCAATGTCTTATTTCAAATGCATAATATCTAATTATCTTATTTTAAGAGTAAAAATAATCATTCCATTGGCAAATTATCTAATTTACCAACTCAAATTAAGGGTAAATACACTTAATTTAAGTAAATATTTTACCTATTTATAGATCCTTTTTCCAGTGCGGTAATAAATTTACAGCGATCACTGCAAAAACCATCTAGAAATTAGCAAAAATGTCTCAAATGAAGTGTATTTACCATTCATTTGAGCAGGTAAATACGATGATCTGCCAATGAAATTTGAATTTTTACAGTTAAAATAAGATAATTAGATAATATGCACTTGAAATAAGACAAGGGCACCGTTTTTTCTTATTTTAAATGAAAATAGTCTTGTTCCATTGGCAAAGTTTCTCACTAGTTTCCTCAATTTAAGAAAAAATGCACTTATTGTAAGAAAAAAATTACTCATTTATAATTCAATTTTTTGCAGTGACGATGGTCTCATAATGGAATGTGAGTAATGCTGCTCAGGTCAAAGATAAATACGTTCATAACAGCTTTTCTTGCTGTCTGCAAAAGCCAACCTGCAGATTGGGACATCTAGCAAAAGCGTCTCTGTCATCCATCATGGCGTCTTCATGGCTGGTGTGACCGTGGCCTCTGCACATTAACCGCTAACACAATAGTGTCACCATTATGCAATCGTTCCATCACATCTACATGGTCGGCGGGGTCAACTTGGTGCCATAAAAAAAAAAAAAAAGAAAATCTGTCCTTATTGAAAACGAGGCGACGGGTCAGAGGTGGGCTGGACGCCTTGGCTTGTCTTATTCATTTTGTGGAGTTGCATTGCACATGAATTAGTACCTTAGGCTATACGGGATCTCTAGCATATAGCCTGATACTGTCTCAGCACCCAGTCGTCACATAATGCTGTCAAGCCCTAGCCTACTATACATCAATAATGCATGGCTCCCTTTAATGCTAAGTCATTCCACAATTGTAAGTTTCCATCCAAATGTTATCATCGTCTTCATTTCAGGTCATTGGCGTGTTGAATATTTCATGTTATTGACCTCTGGGTGAGGTTGCGTGTGATTGGATGAGCTCTCCAGGATCCCACTGGGCAAACCGGGCTGTAAAAATCCAACGGGGTGTGTTTTCTTGTGACGTCCTGGAGGTTGTATTTCAGTATGGAGCTTTAGCTATCACTTTTTCTTAGGTTTTTTTTCTTTTTTTTTTTTAGTTGGACATATTTTCTTGTGTTTCATTTCTTTTGCTTTCTGTTTCTTCTCATATGGGTTAAAACGCCAGCCAAGTCAGTATGATAGGCAGAGCGGTTAAGAGCAAGCTGAGGCCCCTGGCGTCGGCGGATCTGGGCGCTCCGTTGCCTCCGCCACAGAGTTCAAACAAACTCCCACGGAAATTCAGGCTGCGGGACTCCTTTTTCAGTTTTTCCCAGAGGTCCGTTGCTCCCTCTTGGCAGTCGGCCAGTGCCGTCGTGGCACAGGAATGGAAGTTATCCCAGTATCTGGCAAGAGAAAACAAAGTAATGATCAGCACCACAGGCCTTTTGACAGAAGTGGGAGGCTTCTTCTAAACGTAATTCATCAACTAGTCAGGAAGCAGAGCCAAGAGTGGTAGCTGTTCCAAAATCTAGCCGTGAAAAACCATATGAACTTCATCTAGTTAATATGTTCCAACAAAACTCCAGAGCATTGAAGTTTCTAAGCCATATTTACCTTCCATATTAAACGAAAGCACTTTTTTCGTGAGAAAAATTGACTCACCAGAACATTGTCTATGCACAGGGCTACTGCATTTTTTAACGTCACCAGTTAAGCTGATAAAGATTTTCTGTTATCCAGGTCATAGTCATTCCAAAAAAAAGGTTAAAAAACAATCCAAAGGACTTTGTTTCAACTTTGAAGACACTTTGCTTCCCATCCAGGAAGCTTTTTCAATTCAAAATGTCAGAAATAGCGTTGAGTTCCAGGCTTTGTAGAGTGGACCAAAACCAAGCCTTTTTTTTTTGTTTAGAAAAAGATGCAAATTGAACTGGGCGAGAGGGTCCGCCCCTTGGAACTGGGGTCGTTTCAGTTTCTTTGAAAGCCTGTAATACCCCATACCTGTCTATGTCTCTGAAAGAGGGTCATTAGAGGGAATAGTTGGCCTGGCTGAAACAGGCGAGATGTTTTCGTCGCCTCTATTGGGGTTGGGGTTACGATGATAGCGGGGAAGAACGGACTCTATTGCTGTTTAAGGTTGGTTTTTCTTTCTTAACATAGATTACTTCCTTCACGCCCCTCTCAAACCACCTGTCTTCTTTGTCCAAAATGTGAACATTCTGGTCCTCCAAAGTAAACTCAATTGCTGCATTGTAGGTTTTTGAAAGTCCGCATCCTCTGTTTAAGGTTGGTTAAGGGTTTCATAAATATTAAAGGTACATTTTAAACTGAATAATATTCTAACACCATTATTTGGTTTTAACATTTAACCCAGCTCAAGTGCCTTCAATGTGTGTTTAAAACCAAAACCTATTATCGGATAACGTGGTTAGATCTAGAAGTCTCTGGAAGCGGTTAGCAGCCGAATGTGAGGAGGCCAGGATGAGGATCGGTGACTCCATATCTGAGATCATGGTCTTGAGCCGGAAAAGGGTAGAGTGCCTTCTCCGGGTTGGGGAGGATGTACTGCCCCTAGTGGAGGAGTTTAAGTATCCTGGGGTCTTGTTCACGAATGAGGGGAAGATGGAGCGGGAGATCGACTGGCAGATTGGTGCGGCATCTGCTGTGAAGCGGGCGCTGTACCGGTCAATTATGGTAAAGAGAGACCTGAGCCAGAAGCCAAAGCTATCAATATACTGGGCAATATACACTATATTGCCAAAAGTATTTGCTCACCTGCCTTGACTCACATATGAGCTTAAGTGACATCCCGTTCCTAATCCATAGGGTTCAATATGACGTCGGTCCACCCTTTGCAGCTAGAACAGCTTCAACTCTTCTGGGAAGGCTGTCCACAAGGTTTAGGAGTGTGTTTATGGGAATTTTTGACCATTCTTCCAGAAGCGCATTTGTGAGGTCGCACACTGATGTTGGACGAGAAGGCCTGGCTCTCAGTCTCCGCTCTAATTCATCCCAAAGGTGTTCTATCGGGTTGAGGTCAGGACTCTGTGCAGGCCAGTCAAGTTCATCCACACCAGACTCTGTCATCCATGTCTTTATGGACCTTGCTTTGTGCACTGGTGCACAGTCATGTTGGAAGAGGAAGGGGCCAGCTCCAAACTGTTCCCACAAAGTTGGGAGCATGGAATTGTCCAAAATGTCTTGGTATGCTGAAGCATTCAGAGTTCCTTTCACTGGAACTAAGGGGCCAAGCCCAGCTCCTGAAAAACAACCCCACACCATAATCCCCCCTCAAACAAACTTTACACTTGGCACAATGCAGTCAGACAAGTACCGTTCTCCTGGCAACCGCCAAACCCAGACCCGTCCATCAGATTGCCAGATGGAGAAGCGCGATTCGTCACTCCAGAGAACGCGTCTCCACTGCTCTAGAGTCCAGTGGCGGCGTGCTTTACACCACCGCATCCGACGCTTTGCATTGCACTTGGTGATGTATGGCTTGGATGCAGCTGCTCGACCATGGAAACCCATTCCATGAAGCTCTCTGCGCACTGTTCTTGAGCTAATCTGAAGGCCACATGAAGTTTGGAGGTCTGTAGTGATTGACTCTGCAGAAAGTTGGCGACCTCTTCGCACTATGCGCGTCAGCATCCGCTGACCCCGCTCCGTCAGTTTACGTGGCCTACCACTTCGTGGCTGAGTTGCTGTCGTTCCCAAACACTTCCATTTTCTTATAATACAGCTGACAGTTGACTGTGGAATATTTAGGAGCGAGGAAATTTCACGACTGGATTTGTTGCACAGGTGGCATCCTATCACAGTTCCACGCTGGAATTCACTGAGCTCCTGAGAGCGACCCATTCTTTCACAAATGTTTGTAAAAACAGTCTGCATGCCTAGGTGCTTGAATTTATACACCTGTGGCCATGGAAGTGATTGGAACACCTGATTCCAATAATTTGGATGGGTGAGCAAATACTTTTGGCAATATAGTGTATGTTACTACCCTCATCTATGGTCATGAGCTTTTAGTCATGACCATAGATGAGGTCGAGCGGAGCCAGATGAGGTGGATCGGGCATCTGGTGAGGTGTTCCAGGTACGTCCAAATGGAAGGAGACCCACAGGGAGACCCAAGACACACTGGAGGCGCTATGTTTCTCGGCTGGCCTGGGAACAACGTGGGTTTCCCCCGGAGGAGATGGCCCAAGTGACGGAGGAGAGGGACGTTTGGGCCTCCCTACTGAAGCTGCTACCCTCGTGACCCGACCCCAGATAAGCGGAAGAGAACGAATTAATGGACAAACACAATTCTCTAACTACTGTCTGTATATTTTAAAACATGAATTGGATCCTAGTTCTGTTGATGAATAGAGTCTGAGACGAAACTGTGACTCTTTATAATATTAAACTGCCCTCCTACTGAGGACAGAACAAACAGGTAATATGGCAATAATGCAACCAGCTTTACCTTCAGTTTCAAGCATCCAGCATGCTAAGGTGAGTGATGCCTCGAGATAATCATTGGGTCATGGCTGTATGTTTGGGCTGCAATAAGACAGATTTTATACAGCAGCCCAACAAAGCCTGGTTTTAGTTTAGAAGACATGCAAATTGAAACGGATGGGTCCAAGTCTCTGGAATGGGGGGTCGTTAAAGGCGAATTGTTGGCCTGGCTGAATAGGCAAGGTCTTCTGTTCTCCTGTAAAGGGGTTGGGGATGTCACTGCAGGCTAACAAAAAAAGCATTCTAAAGGGGTGGACCCGTTCTTCTGTTGCAATTTGCATGTTTTTTAAGCAAAAACAAGGTGTTGTTAGGCTGCTGTATAAAACCTTGAAGTCAACTCTATTTCTGACAAGCAGCAATAGAGTTGACTCCTTCCTGCTATCATCGCAACCCCAACCCCCATAGACGGGACCAAAACATTTCACCTGTTTCATCCAGGCCAACAATTCCCCTTAACGACCCTCTTTCAGAGATATACACAGGTATCAGGTATTACAGGCTAACAAAGAACTGAAACGACCCAATTCAAAGGGGTGGACCTGCTTGTCCGGTTTAATATGCATGTTTTATGAGCCAAAATAAGGCTTGGTTTTGGTCCACTCTATAAAGCCTGGACCTCAACGCTGTTTCTGACAATTTTGAATTGAAAAAGCTTCCTGAATGGAAAACGAAACGTCTTCAAACTTGGAAACAAAGTCTAGTGGATTGTTTTTTTCCTTTTTTTGTACTTTTTTGGAATAAAGTAACATTATTCTCTCAAGACATTGTTTCATCCTTTCAGATGTTTGATATAAAGGTCTGCTGGCCACGTTGACAGTTGTGACCAAAGTTGAATTCCCAGTTACAGAAATTGTCCAAAACAGTTTTGGCTTGGAAACTGTCCAAATTTACAGTGAGTCACTGAAACTCACACATTTTACAATTGAATTGTTGTTTAAAGTGATGACATGTTTGTTATATCCGGAGGAATTGCAGAAATTAGTCACATTAGAGCCTGAAAATTGTAGGCGCCATATTGATCATACGCCCTCTTGTGGTAAACCCTGGAGTTAATATGTTATGACTCTTTTTGGAAATTTGCCCTATGCAAGTACTTTACTGTGACCTACCAACATAAATTCTGGTGAAGATTCAAAGTCAAACTCAACACTATTTCTGACATTTTGAATTGACAAAGCTTCCTGGATGGGAAGTAAAATGTCTTCAAACTTGGAAACTGGTCCAGTGGTGTTTTGGAAGACCAACATAAATCTGTTTGCACCAGAGCCAAACGCATTGAAACACTGCGGTGCTTCTGGTTTGGATGAAGACTGCCTGGTGAGGCTACATCCAGGTGCATCACCTGTTTGACTGGATCAGCACCAGAGAAACCGACTGAACTGTTTGTATTTTGCTGAGTTTGAAATCAGCGGCTGCGTCCTCCAAAGGCCAGATTCGTCAGTTGATTATGTCATAGCGTGGCGCCGAGGCCTGTTCCGAGTGGAAGTCTCCTCATTATGCAACAGAAAAATGAAGCCTTCTCTTAGCCCTTCTTTTTGAAGGACGGGTCCGCTGTATCCTCCGTAGCCTTGGGTATCCCATGATTCAATGCGAGTCAAAGCAAGCCGTCTGTTCCGTGCTCAGAGGAAAAAGGGAAATGGCGCCGAACAGTGGTGAATATTGGAAGTGCAGATTAATATAATCCAAGTATATGAATAATTCCGTCTGAAATGAATGAAAATAGTTGTTTTAAATGGTTATTGAGGCAGATATGTGGCCGTAATGTTTGGTTTATTGAAAGGTTTTACCTGTTTCTGTACAAATGGGTTTGGCTGACATTTAACCTGCAGTGTGGGGACTATAAATCAGATATCTAAGATGTTATTAGCACCCGGAACAGCAGTGAGAAGTTCAGCATCCATTCTTTGCCTGCTTTGTTTCTCAACTGCAACAGTTGCTAGGAGACAGAGCGTATGACGTAAGGCTTTCGGTGACAACCGAAGAAGAATAGACCTGTTTGAATCTACAGCCAAAACTCTTCCGGCCTCCTTATTTTAACGGAGTCCAGGTAGACCGGGTCCAAGCCGATCTACCAGAACCTGGCGCGCTCTGCATGTGCGAAACAAGGGAGTTCTTCTTCTTCTGGATTGATGAGTCCGACCGGCGCCATCTCTTGGCGCTGAGTCTGAGGTGTGGTTTGTGGACGTACAGTGTGAGCTGGTAGATCGCATCAGAGTGTCGGGAACTGCGAACTTTTAAACCCTGCAGTTTTGTCGTACAGTTTGAGCTGTAGCTGAGTACGATTGAAAACATTGTTGAGCGTAGGTCCGGCTTAATGGAGCTGAATCTAACCGTCGGATGCTCTGGTTACTGCCTGATACCGTTATCACTTCACTAATGGCTCTCTAGACCTGTCGTCTCCTTCTGAATTGATTGATTTAAATCTCAACATGGGTTTGCATGAGAGGAGGAGCAACCAACCCTCCTCTTTCTTTCTTTTCTTTTCTCCACTTTCTCTTTTCCTTTCACCCTTATCCCCCCCCCTCCCCTCGCTGCCTCCTCTGAACCTCCTCCGTCTCTCAAACGCTCCACTCTTCACTCTCTCTCTCGGTTTAATGTTTTATTCATACAGACTCGTCCTCCTCACTGTTTCCAGTCTAAATATATTTTTACTCTCTGGCCCCAATTTCTCTCTCTGTATTTTTTTGGGTTAGATTTCTTTGTCTTCCTTCTCATGTTTTCATTTTAATCATCTCCTCTTCATCTGTTTTTGAAGCCTCTTTGCAGTTTATGTAGATGTGACACCAGCCTGCTCACCGACGCGTGCCGAATGGAAGCACACACGCCGTGACACACAGCGTATCTAATCCAATCTTCCAATCTGCTCTTATTGATGTTGACCCGCTGACCCGAACTGTGTCCGAGACACATCTCAGAGCAATTAGGGTGTGTGTGTGTGTGTGTGGGGGTGGGGCTGGTCAGGAGGTGCATTAACCCCCTACACCCCCCCCGAATTCCCCGCCTTCTGCCACGCCTCAACACGGCTGTGATGGAGCTATCACTGGATTAAAAAATGATGTGTTTGTGGTGGGGGGGTGGGGCATTGCTGCAGCATGCCATCTGGTGCCCACCCGCTTTGGGTGGTGCCGGTGGGGGGGTCTGCATAAGCACACCCACCAGAAACCTCCTCCGGTTCCTCCACTGGTTCCCCCCTGTGGGCTGAATTGCTCATTTCATCATTAAGATGAGCCGCAGCATAATGATCATTAAAGTCTTTTCTCTTTATTCCCGGATAAAAGGAACAGGATCTCACTTCAAATGTCTTTAACCATGAAATATTTAAATCACAGAAAATGTTGTATTTTTAGAGATAGAACTCAAGTGTTTGAAAACAAAGCTGCAGAGGCTTCGACATGTTTTAGGTCGTAGCGTCCTACGAACATCTGATTCTTTAAGCTACGCTAAAATGTTTAAGGTGATCAAACACACTTTAATATTAAAAAATAAAACTAAATATAAGGAGCAGTTTCAAACATTTTAAATTGCTAAAGCAAATTTTCCACTGAATATCCAAAAATACTACATAGTACCTGTCTGACAACATGAAGTAGGATGAAAAATGAAAAAGAAACAATAAAAAAACACATTATTTTTTGATCCAAACCAGCTGAGAAGCAAAGTCATTGATCTTTCTAAATCGGGAAAGGTTTAAAAAACATTTGGGAGGCTTTGGGACTCTAAAGAATCACATTGAGAAGCGTCATCCACAGTTGGAGAGATTATAAAACAGTTTAGAACCCAGGAAACCGGTGTTCTGTCAGACCAGCATACCCATAGTCAATCCCCGTTTATCCCTTTAGTTTTGTAGGAAAAATAAACTTTAAAGTACCTCAATGGGCGTGTATCTATGGAAGAGGATTAGACCCACTGAAAAAAAAGCTAACTGATTTTAAAATTTTATTCCAGTTTAATACGGGAAATAGTCAGAATTCTAACGTTAATCTCAGAATTCAAACTTTTTCCTCAGAATTCTGACGTTTTCTCAGAAGTCGAACCTTTTTGTCAGAATTCTGACTTTTTCTCAGACTTCTGACTTTAATCTCAGAATTCTGACGTTTTCTCAGACTTCTGACTTTAATCTCAGAATTCTGACTTTTTCTCAGAAGTCGAACCTTTTTGTCAGAATTCTGACGTTTTCTCAGACTTCTGACTTTAATCTCAGAATTCTGACTTTTTCTCAGAAGTCGAACCTTTTTGTCAGAATTCTGACGTTTTCTCAGACTTCTGACTTTAATCTCAGAATTCTGACTTTTTCTCAGACTTCTGACTTTAATCTCAGAATTCTGACTTTTTCTCAGAAGTCGAACCTTTTTGTCAGAATTCTGACGTTTTCTCAGACTTCTGACTTTAATCTCAGAATTCTGACTTTTTCTCAGAAGTCGAACCTTTTTGTCAGAATTCTGACTTTTTTCTCAGAATTTTGTCTTTTTTCTCAGATTTCTGGCTTTTTTTCTCAGACTTCTGACTTTAATCTCAGAATTCTGACTTTTTCTCAGAAGTCGAACCTTTTTGTCAGAATTCTGACTTTTTTCTCAGAATTTTGACTTTTTTCTCAGATTTCTGGCTTTTTTTCTCAGACTTCTGACTTTAATCTCAGAATTCTGACGTTTTCTCAGAAGTCGAACCTTTTTCTCAGAATTCTGACGTTTTCTCAGAATTCAGAAGGCAGTCTGAAATCCTCTCAGATGGAATATATCTGTCTTCTAATAACTAAATCTAAAGTCGGAGGTTATGAGCTTCTATAAGATTGATTGGCATAAAAACGGTTAAAAAATGCAATCGGTCTGAAGTTTTTTGTTCACAACCACCTTCAGTTCCCTAAAGCCGAGTGCGATATTTTCAATCGTTGCACGCAGCTACAGCTCGAAGTGTACGGCGAAACCGCAGGGTTTAAAAGTTCACCGCTCACGATGTTTGTTCTCACACTGTGCGGCTTGATGCTCTGATACGATCTACCTGCTCACACTGTACGTCTAAAAACCAAACATCAGACAAGAGATGGCGCTGGTCGGACTCGTCAATCTGGAAGAAGAAGAAGAAGAACTCCCTTGTATTCACATACGCAGTTCTCAAGGTTCTGGTAAATCGGCTCGTAGCTCTGCTTCAACAGCAGGATTTGTCCACATCCACCTTATGACGGCCGACTGAATTTCAAGCATTGTTTTCTCCCGACCTTACGATTCCTGATCGGGAAGCGGTCGTGACAGGCTAATCGCCCCTCATTACCCCCGTATACTACAAGAAACAGGACAAATGAGGAGGCTGAAACTCTGCCCGATTGAAAAATTCTCTCACGACTGGAGAATCGGCCCAAAAAGGGCAAAAAAATCGTACAGTGTATGCCCGGCTTTAGTTTGACTTTAAGATTCAACTAAAATCTTAAAGTGAAATCGATCAATCGATTTCCATTAATTGATGTCAATTCTCTGGCTGTATTTACCGACAGGTTTATTTGGTGGAGGGTTTTGTTTCTATTCATGTTCAGTTGAATTTAGTTAGTTTGAAAATTGGAGTTTGGTTTGGTTTGATGTTAAGTAGTCTTTTTTTTTTATGTATTTTGTTGATGATTTCTACAGTAGATCATCAATAGTTAGACTATGAAGGGCTGGTTATCCTTCCACAGAAGAGTGTGGTAGTTGTCACAGGTATGATGCAGATATTTTTTTAATTATGCCCAATTTTTAAGAGTGGTCTGCGCTGTTATTCCACACCACAAGGTAAGAGAGCCAATCAGGAACTAGCTAGGATTGTGGGCGTCCGTGTGTCGGTTTGACGAGCTTGTTTGCTGTCTACAAAGCCCTCATCCAACGCAGGACGACACACAGTTTAACCCTGAGTGTTCCCCAAAGACTGGCCGGGGCGCTGCTTGTTTTGGCTTTGGGTGCAAACCAACAGACCGTCGCACAGAGCTACAAACTAGCGTCCTGTACGATGTCTGGGATAGTTTCTGACGTGTGCCTGGCGTTGTGGACGGCACTACAGCCAGAGTTTCTGCCATTTCTGACTCTGTGTAGGACAGTGGTCTAGAATTGGATTTAGACTCCCCATCCCGTGTAGTGGTTGTGTGTTTGAGCGGCCACCTACGTGCAGATCTTGTGCAAGTTCTCTCTGTCGTCCAGGTCCTGGGGATAGTTGGCCATGTCGTCCCCCAACTGAATCAGACAGTCTGAGAAACCTTTAAACACCGAGTCACATTGACCAGCGCTGACAAGTACCGTCTGCAACAGGGGTACTGCAGAGAGGGAGGGGGGAATAATGGGAGGGGGAGACAAAAGACAATTTTAATACACTAAACAAGAGACAATGACTTTGGGGTTTGGATTGTGAGAAGTGTCCCTTTTCTGTCTGATGTGGAGTAACGGGTCCTACTGTAGGACAGACTAAATCAGTGTACGACAAGCAGGAAGAGAGGATGTGATGTAAGAGCAGCACATTTAAGTAGAAGGAGTTCAAAATTTGCAGACTAAAGTGATTGAAAATATTTAATGTCAAGTAGTGAAGAGTTGGAGGCACACAGCTAAATTTAAACACCAAATAATAACAGAAATACCATGAAATGGACTTTCTTCTTCTCAGTCAGCTGTTGTTTTACCTGTGCCAACAATGTCTAACACCTGAAGGTCAGAATTTTCTCACTTTGCCAGTTCAATGGACTGAACCCTGGATGGGACGGCTGGTATAATGCAGGCTAGGGCAGTTCCATTCAGACACTTCGTTCTCCATTACAATGTAGCAGGATCTGATTGGGGGCAGGATCTTTTACAGAGAGGCGGCCCTACAGTCTGATGTGTTACAGTTTGCAGGGACACAACAGATGACATCATCAACGTCAACCCAGAGTGATGGCATCACCAGACACACAGCGGTTGGTTAAAGGGCTATGAAGCTGCCAGCGAGGGGTTAGACCAGCTTTTTATGGCCAATGGGAAGGGAGCCAAATGCTGATTGTTAGCGGGTCGACCCAGGTTTGAAAAACTTTTTCAGAGGGAAAGTGGTTTCAGAGAGAAAGGCTACGTTTACACAGCAGCCTGAATTGATCCAAATCCGATTCATGACAGTCTGAACAACACAGATCCGATTCTTTCCAATGCGACCCAGCCCACTTGGCTCTGTGGTCCTGAATCCGATACGAATCTGATCTTTTCAAATGCGACGTCTGTCTGAACGGCCAGGTCGCATTCATCCCACCTGAACGGCATTAATACCCGATATAGGTCAGTATTCTGCTTCTTGCTACACAGAAGCGGCAAGAAAAACGACAACCATGATGGACGATGATGCGAAGAGTAGTATTTATGTTTAATCAACTTGAAAAGATTGAGTTTTAAGGTTGGGAAAGATCGCTAAATGCGCTCCAACACGACCATCCATGTTAACTTTCGTAAACACAGAGAATGCTGGCTTGTGATGTCATTGGGTCCTCTACTGCGCATGCGGGACAGTTAAGCTGTATGAATCCAGTTCACACAGGAGATCACATACAAGTTGCATATATTTGGAAATGTGAACGGTAATGCAAACAAATCGGATTTCGCAAAAAAAAATCGGAATTTAGCATCAAGGCCTGAAGTGTGAACGTAGCCAATGGAGAGAACCAAGGCAGGCAGTGGGCAACGAGATGAAACAACCTATTTAATGGAAGAATACAAGCTACAGCACATGTGATGCACGTATGCTAACACTGCCTGCTGCTAACACTACCGGCTGCTAACACTGGCTGCTGTTAACGCTGCCTGCTGCTAACGCTACCTGCTGTTAACGCTGCCTGCTGCTAATGTTGCCTGCTGCTAACGCTGCCTGCTGCTAACGCTACCTGCTGCTAACGCTGCCTGCTGCTAACGCTACCTGCCGCTGACGCTGCCTGCTGCTAACACTACCTGCTGCTAACGCTGCCTGCTGCTAACGCTACTCACTGCTAACTTGCTATAATTGTGATCATATAGACGATAAAACTGTTAATCAATTAAACTATAACCACTAAAAGCAGTAAGAGCAGTATCATTTGGCAGTAAATTATTCTGAGTTGGTACTAGTGGAAAAGTGTTACCCACCGTGCTCTAAAACCTGAGGTGAGGGAATCAAATCTGATGCCTTATTAATGCCAGAAAATAAAACAATCGACAAGGACGATCATATCAAGGATACATTTTTCTCTTTACTTTTTACAAACCAAGTCCTAAAATCAGTCTGCACTCATTGAAGATGGATCCAATAAAACTTTGGGCCTGAGGAAGCATATTTTTCCTTGGTCTATTTATGAGATTAAATATTTTAAATGTGCCATTTCTCTGCATAAATAGGGGATGACAGAAAGCAGATGCCTCCCTACTCTGGTGAATCCAATCAGTTTTTTAATTATTAGTTTTCATTGATGGCTCTTTTGTTTCCATTCCTTCTATCCGTTATCATTAGTTTTCCTCCTGTAGACACGTCTGCAGAGGGTTGAATTAAATTCCCGAATCTGTGCAGCTGTAGTCAAAGTAACACCAAGCTGCCTAAAGATGGTCTGATAGTCTTTACCGTTAAAATGCTGCGCTATAGTTTTCTTCTAATCTGCTTCTAATTAGTTTCCTCTGGTCCATGTTGAGTGTGGTAAACACCATGTCACCAAACAGCAGAGTGATTACCTGTAGTGCTACATATAGGCTAAATAGTGGAAACTCCTTGATCTAATGTGTCCCTATGGTCTTATTGTATTTTCTTTCTAGAAAGTAAGAAAAAAAAAAATCAATCCACTGGACTTTGTTTCCAAGTTTGAAGACGTTTCTCTTCCATCCATGAAACTTTTTCACTTCAAAATGTCAGAAATAGCGTTTAGTTCCAGGTTTTATCCAGCAGCCCAACTAAGCCTGGTTTTAGTTTAGAAAACATGCAAATAGAAACGGATGAACGGGTCCCCCCCTTTGAAATGGGGGTCGTTTGGCTTCATTGTTAGCCTGCAATGCCCCATACCTGTCTATGTCTCTGAAAGGGGGGTTGTTAGAGCGAATTGTTGGCCTGGCTGAATAGGCGAGGTCTTCTGTTCCCCTGTAAAGGGGTGGAGTTATTTTCTATATTTTTTATGGGAACCATCCTTTTGGTCCGGGTCTTTTTCAAGAGATTTTTTTTTTTTATCGTTCTGTTGAAGCAGTACTGGAAAAACAATGTCTGACTTTCATTTGTTCATTTAGTTATTATTAACTTTATCAGATTCAGGCTATCTTTGTGACCATTGTTGGTTTCTCTTTCGTTAAATGAGGGGAACCCTTCATGCTCCGGCCTGGACCAGTTTCTTTTAGGTTGTGTCTGTCCGTCTGTCCGTCCATACCTCATCTATCCATCTTTTCCCGCTTATTCCATCAGGGCCGATGCTTATTTCCTACAATCTATGGTTGATAGGCGGGGTAGACCTTTGACAGGCGGCCAGTCTGTCGCAGGGCAACAGAAAGACACACAACCATGCACACTACCACCCACACCTAAGGGCATTTTAGAGACATCATTTAACCTAAAAGACATGTTTCGGACTGTGGGAGGACACCAGAGTACCCAGAGAGAACCCACCATGCTCAGGGAGAACACACAGAAAGATCCCCAGCAGAGCAACAGTACTACAGACTGCGCCACCGTGCAGCAGCGAAAAACATGTTAAATTCATTTTAATCCTCTGTGACCAGGACGAAATCTGTAGGGATGATCCGGTATTCTAACAAAAGTACCAGCGAAATATCATGGGTACTACCGCGTCTCTATTAAAAGTCAAACAGTGCCACAGTAAGCAAAGTAAGGATGGCTAAAGCTGGCGTACACTGTACAATTATTTTTCTATTTTTTCACAATTTTTCCAATAAAACTACAGTGTTTCGTCGTACTGTGTGAAGTTACAGCTCACAATGTTTGTTCTCACATTGTGCAACCTGACGCACTGATGCTACCTGCTCACACTGCACATCCAAAAACCACATCAGACTCCAGGCTCCGCAGTGAGATGGCACTACTCAGAATCTCTTTAATCTCTCAGAATTCTGAGATTAAAGTTTCCCATATTAAAGTGAAATAATATTTAAAAATCAGTTCACTTTTTTTTTTATGTCCCTAAACTTCTTCTGCAATCATCTCTTCCTTCATGGTGCCCTTAAAGATTAAGATCCAAAATTCCAAAAAGATTAAAGTCAGCATTCTAAGAAAAAATTCAGAATTGTGACTTTTTCCCATATTAAACTGACATAAAATTATAAAAATCTGAAAAAAAAAAAAAATAATAAAATAAAAAAGTATTTTTCCAGTAACCCTAATCCTCTTCCGTACGCGGGAGAGCTGCGACCTGAAGTGACAGGAAGTGTATTTACTCCCCGCCTCGTGATTGACAGGTCGAGTCCCGAAGTCTGGAGACGCATTGGAGAGAGAGAGAGATGGTGCAAGAACCGTCCTTTTCCAGGACCTGGTTTAGCTCCAAGGCTAGGCTAACTGCATGTAGCTAGGCTAACTGCATGCAGCTCGGCTAACAACATGCAGCTCGGCTAACAACATGCAGCGAGGCTAACTGCATGCAGCGAGGCTAACTGCATGCAGCGAGGCTAACTGCATGCAGCGAGGCTAACAGCATGCAGCGAGGCTAACTGCAAGCAGCGAGGCTAACTGCATGCAGCGAGGCTAACTGCATGCAGCAGGCTAACTGCATGCAGCGAGGCTAACTGCATGCAGCGAGGCTAACTGCATGCAGCAGGCTAACAACATGCAGCGAGGCTAACAACATGCGGTTAGCCTCGCTGCATGCAGGAGGCTAACTGCATGCAGCGAGGCTAACTGCATGCAGCGAGGCTAACTGCATGCAGCAGGCTAACTGCATGCAGCGAGGCTAACTGCATGCAGCGAGGCTAACAGCATGCAGCGCGGCTAATGCTTTATCCTGCTTTCCCTGCCTCCTTTTCAAACGTCAGGATCCGAGCCAGCATGGATAAAGACAGCTAGGACTGATTTAAAGCACTTTGCAGAAAAGAAGAATGAACAATCTGGGATTCACATGGAAAATAATAGAAAATAGTTTACCTTTGTTCAATTGCATAGTTGCTCTTAAAGAAATACATCCTCAGAAAATAGTTTTTTATATATTCAAAAAACAAAGCTGAATAATAGCTTCTCCATTATTAAACTGGTAGATTTTTTTTTTAGGTTTGTGACCCAATAATGGGCCAAAACACAGATTTAACTTCATAAAACCTCAGAAGGGCAAGATTTATGTACAGAAAATAA